CTGTCACACGTGGCACTCTCCCGCCTGTGGCTGGTCCAGCACATCAGCCGCTGTCACACGTGGCAGCACCCCAGATGACACCTAAAAAGCATCCCCTTCGTTCCCATCCACTCAGCGAGCCAACTGATCCTGGGAATCATTCCGTATGTGGGCTTAGGCCTGGATTCTCTAGATCGCAGCTTCCAATTGTCCTCAGAGGGAGTTCTTTCCCAATCCACTAAGGAGAGGCCAAGTGTGGGGGCACTTCTGCCAGCCCTTCCAAACCAGGAAGACCAGTGGGACTGATGGGGGCAGATCTTTTTAACTCTATGGGTGCCGGTGAAATCTCTTAGACCTGCCTTGTCCATCTTGAGCCCACCACTTCCAGCCTAGACCTCTTTCCTCATTCAAGTAGGACTGACATCAACTTTCAAAAGCACAAACCATAGCAAATCAAAGAGGAAGAAAAATAAGTAAGCAAACTCACTTGGCAGTTTTTCTTCTGTTGGCTCTTCACTATCTTTATCACCTGGTAGATGTTAGTGTCTGTTCCCCTGGAGAAGTTGGTCATCTGCGACAGCCCCTCTTGGAAGCACGGCGTGGAGCAGTTGTCCTGGCCAACAAGGCGGGATTAGGAAGAGACACTCAGAGGGTGGGCTCGAGAAGGAGCCTCAGAGAGAAGGATTCCCGAGACAATCGCAATGTAGCCAAGGGTCACCAGCACCTGCCTGTGTTCAGACAGATCCTTGGCCACTCTACAAAAGGTTCTTTCGTCATTTTAGATGGGACCATTTTCCTGGAGGAGATTTCTAGAATGTTCTATCTACGGGCATGTGAGACCCGTGGGGCCTTGGAAATAGCCAGCTCTGAGCCTGCCTTTCGACAGACGCTCCTGTGCAGAGAAAGAAAGGGCTTTGGCCCAGCAAACTGATGCGAGGAGCCGACAGTCACCAGCAGTGCAGATCATGGGGTCTACGCTGAGAGGCCTGGAGGAGGACGTGAGCGTGTGGTTCCTCCTCAGAAGACAGCCGCTCTTCCCACTCCACTAACAGAGGGACTGTGATGGGCACCACGGCTGGCCGCAGCTGCCGAGCTGCCCAAGGTCTCCCCGCCCTGCTGGTGGAGGCAACACACTGCCGCTTAGCCTCTTCCTGACACTAGCTTGGCTCCCCAGCCTGTCCAATTGTCTGTGAGGCATTTGATGACAAAGAATCAACAGAATCGGGCCTGGGAGCACCCTTCTCTTCCAAAGTGGGGAATCCTGTTCCCTTCTCCTCCACCCACAGAGTCACTCTGTTCTCCGGAGGACAACGTTCTTCGGTCCGCTTTGATATAATTGCGCAAAGCGACCACTCTGAAAGGGATCATGGTAGAAGGGCCTGGACATATTGGGAAAAACTCAGAATCATGCCGGTCAGATAGAGCCTGGTGGGGCCTCTGGGATTGTGGCCCTGAGATGCCCTTCACATCCGTAACTTAACCAATCTCAACTTTCAGCCAGAAGACAGAGAGGGATGAACCCCTCAGTAAGAACGAGAGCTTTTGGGGACCCTAAGGGCAGCAGCGCTGACCCGGGGATAGAGTCCAGAAGGCAGGAGGGGATGGGACTAAAGATGAAGTCGGGGAGCGACAGTCACAGGGAGGAAGCAGGGAAAGTGCTGGGATCTTGTGAGGGTTGTAATCAGTGCCACAAACCACCATGTTGAGTGGAAAACCAATTCGCTCTGCAAAGGCTCATCCAAATCACACACAAGCACACGAGAAAAGCTGCTTCTTACAACACTCTAGGGTTACCATTAATCTGTTAACAATTTCAATGGAGTAGCCCCTTTCTGCTTCATAAGGCAAACGAAGCTATCAATACTGACTTACGAACAAGAGGGAAGTTCCAGGTCTTCCCCATACTTACAGAAGGAACGGGAAGACACAAGCAGTGGGTCACCTGCAAGAGAGAAGGTTCTGGTCATGAAGCTTCCAGGCGTGAAAAGGAAGACAAGCGAGTTAGGAAAGTTCCTGAAAGAAGAGGTACTCACGTTCCTGCCGCAGCTGCATTGGGAAGCCGGATCTGCCTAGTCAGAAGCCAAGAACCCACAGTGAGCGACTAGTGCGTTCATGCATCTCTATCGCACGTCTGTCTGCAATCGCCGTCTTACCCTTCCCTGCACCCACCTCCAAAACCTACCTGCAGCTTTTGGATGAGGTGCTTGACATAGAAGACCCCTACGGTGCTGGGACACTTCTGGCCCGCCAGGGGGCAGAGGAAGAGGGCAGAAGCCAGAACGGTGGCCAGCAGCATCTTTCCACGGAGCTGGAGGGAGGTTCACCTGCAGGCTCCTGTGGACCCAGCTGTATTTAAAGCTCCTTTTCAAACATGGGAAAACCCTGACATCAAACTGATACTTTTTCTCTGTGACTCAGTTTGATTTCTGTCAGTCTGTCTGTCGTTTTTCTCTCCCATATCAAGTGGTCCAAATTTACAGAGAAACACAAAACCCTAAGAAAGAGAGGCCCTTCAAAAAGTACTGAGCTGCTGTCGGGAAAATGAAAGACCTTAAAACCATACTTTTTTTTTTTTGTCTTAACAGCAAGGATTGTGGTGTGACTGAGAGCACTTTCCATGAAAGGCCACGTCTGTATTTTCCCTCTTGACATTATTGGAAATGCTGATACAATAGCCAGTCGTGGGCGCTCCCATGCAGGGGAGGTCCGGGGCAGGAGGGGGACAAGTGAGGCTGCAGGGCAGCTCTTTTGTCCAGTGGCGTTTTCTCTTAGCAATTCTAACCTCATACATTCTCTTCGCTGCCCCCAAATCTTAAACGTGTCTTTCATGCACCAGACTAGATTCCCCATCTCCCAAAAATGCATCTGAGAGATTATCTTTTGTAAAAATCTCTGCAGGAGGAAACCTTCAACCACAAGCACCCAAGGTATAGCCTGTTCCTGTGGCCTTAGGGCTGGGAGAGACCACAGCAGCGCTGTGAGATCGAGCACAAGCCCCGGGACTAAAACTGGACAGCAGCTGGCATTTGCTGAGCATTTGCTGTGGGGCCGCTGCTGGTGGAAATGCTCTGTGCGTGTGTGAAGCCCCAAGAGAGTGGACGCTTTGAGACACTAAGTCATGCAGTGGTTTATCAGGGATGTGGGGTGGGAATGAGGGGAACTGGGACACAAACAGTGAATGCGGGAGGTGGGAGGGAGCAGTAGAACTGATTGTGAGGATGTATATCTAATTCTTTTGAAAAGCAATTTGACTATGAAATGGATGATACGTGAATATTATATCATACATTTACAGTACATCAGACAACTACTAAAAATGAAGAAAGGAGGAAACCAGACTTGACCAACGGTTACCATGCTGCTTAGGGGCATCGGGTTTCTGTGAATGGTGGGACTACTGTGGTAAAGGACATTGACAGTGGTTGGACAGCAGAGATGATGCCATTGGATTGTGCATGCAGACGTTGTGGAATTTGGGGATGTTAGGTTGTGTGTATGTTTTGCCCCAATGAAGAAATAATAATTATGTGAATAGCAATGAATACAAGGAAGAAGAAAATGTTCTAGAATTGATCATGGTGATGATTTTACAACTCTTTTTGATATGATTGAATTACTGAATTGTATGACATGTGGATGAAGTACCAATAAAATTGTTTTTGTTTTTAAAACTATTCATAGAGCAGCTCTATATAGAACTAATACTGTTAAGATAGATTTCTACACTGTAGCCCAGAAAACCAATTAAAAAAAAAAAACCCATGCTGCTTGCTTGTGTTTTATTAATTACATTGAAGAAAGAAAATAAGAGTTGATGTTCTACTATAAAACACACACACGCTTTGTTTAAGGAGCTCTGGGGTTGGGAGTGGGGGGGGCGCAGTGCTGCTGACTGAGCATTGGATTATTGAGAGGTAGGAGGCTCACACTAGTTGCCCTGTGAGAGAAAGACAAAGTTATCTGTTCTTGTAAAGACCCAGAGCCTCAGAAACTATTTAGGGTCATTATCAAGTGCAGAGGGGCAGCAGAAAAGAGGAAGGTCCCCGGAAAGATGGATGGACACGTCAGAACAATTGTGACCGCAGCCCCAGGAGCTGCAGCCTCTCGCTCTGGTCGCTCCGAGTCAGAATGGACTTGCTGACAGTGAGTGGGCTGTACTTCGCTGACCAGTCACAAGTATGCTAGCATTTCCATGCCCGCACACAGATGGCCGGTCACCGGGGACTCCTGTTTACACTTACGTCACTTTTCGCAGCTTGTCAGCCTGAAAGCACTATGGGACTTGACAGGAAGCCGGAGCTGGTGGCCGCTGATAGTCTTGGTTTGAACTAGCCAATGTACAAAGTGGGAACTCCCAGCTTTGAATGGGACCGTGTCTTTTACTCCAGGCCAGAAAGTGATCTACATTGTCTGGTATTAACTTCACTATTATTATGTTCATTTTATAGGTGAGGAAACTAATGCAGAGACAGGTTTTTAAAAAAATGTATCCAAAGCTGCCCAGCCAGGGAGCTTTGGAGCTGAAGTCCACCGCAGAAGTCCGGGGTTGGGCCCTACAATTGACCTCCTTCTTCTCTGAATGCTTTTCCCCACCTCTTCCACCAGCGCAGACTGTCCGTGAGCCTGAGGCCCAGAGGAGAAAGACCTTAGGAAGGTGCCTGGCACATAGTGGGCCCCCACTAAAGTTGACTTGAAGCCTTCGTTTGAAGTTGTTTTGGAAGTAATACGAAAGACACAAATAACTTTGTAGCCAACACACTGAGGCCAGTGGTTCAAACCCACCAGTTGCTCCACAGAAGAGAGATGAGGCTGTCTACTCCTGTAAAGATTTAAAGTCTCAGAAGCCACAGGGGCGGTTCTGCTCTGTTTTACAGTGCCACCATGAGTTGAAGTGACAGAAAGCTCCAAGTGCACGGCCATCCAGTCAATTCTGATGCAGTGAAGCTACAGCAGTGGTTCTCGACCTTGCTAATGCCGCGACCCTTTAATACAGTTCCTCATGTTGTGGTGATCCCCCCAACCCTAAGATTATTTTTATCGCTACTTCATAACTGTCATTTTGCTACTGTTATGAATCGAGTGACCCCTGTGAAAGTGTCCTTCGACCCCCAAGGGTCGCGACCCACATGTTGAGAACTGCTGCCCTAGAGCTATATATTAAAACTCCCTGCCATCGAGTCAATTACTGACTCATAGCGACCCCATAGGACAGGGCGGAACTGCCTCTGTGAGGCAGTTTTGTTTGTTTATGATCTCACTTTATTTGGTTACAAGGTACATTGAATACAAAGACATATATAGACAGGGTTCTCTAGAGAAACAAAACCAGAATGCTAATAATTAGATAGATAGATAGATAACATAAGAAATAAACACTTAATCTATAAAGCAGTAGAAATGGCTCAGTGCAACTCACTCCCGTGAGACAGCTATGAGACACTGGCAGCCCTTCAGGTCTTGAGGGCTACCCGGTAGTCCTCTGTAGAGCAATTCAGGCTGTCCGGGCACAGCAGCAAACAGCAAGGCAGGTAGGTCACCAACAGTCAGCCAGATGACAGGGTCTGACAGTCCCCAGCTCAAGAGATGTATATTCCAATAGTGTGGCGAAACAGGTCTTGAAGGAACCTTAAATTACAGTGACACAGTCCATGGGTTAGGTGTCCCACAGGTAGTGTAGCTTGCAAGTTGAAGCACAGAACAAGCAAGGCAGCCACACACTGGTCCTAACATCAAAGAGCAAGAGACAAGAAAGGCGAGGCTCACTGAGTCATTTATCTCTCCGCCCTTCAATTCCCACATGTGTTCATTGGCCATATTGGCACAACAAACGTTAACTATCTCAGACACAGTAGGAAAAGATAGCACTAGATGACATGTAACATTGGTTCACAGAGACTTAGTTAACCACCCCTGGGGACATGCATTTATCTTCTGGTTTGCCTTCTAACATTCAGTGTTTATGAGCAGGCCCCTGTACTGAATCAATTAGGAAATGTATTCTGTAAAACTTAAGCAACTATTCTATTTTTCTCAATGTCTACGCTCTGAGGCAATCAGCCAGATTTGCTGAGACTGTAACTGTTTACGGGCACAAAAAACCTCGCCTTTCCCCTGAGAAGCCGCTGGTGGTGACAGACTGCCTAGCTTGTGCAGGGTACAGCCCACTACCCACCAGGGCTCATTACAGGTATACATAGGTGGGAAGATACATCTTCTATACACTCAAGATGGAAAGGGTGAGGGTTCTTTATCTATCGTACCTTGAACTATAGTAGCTATAGTGTTTTCTCATGCATTACATGCAAGTCTGACGGTGCTCTTTTCCATTGCCAGCTGTTCCTAAGAGGAGAAGGCGAATCATTAGTGTTTGACCACAGAGGTGTGAGCTGTAATGAGAGCCCTTGTAGCATAGTAGAGTACATGTTGGGTTGCTAACCACAATGTCAGTAGTTTGAAACCAAAGTCCATAGCACAGGAGAAAGATGAGGCTGTCTACTCTCATAAAGATGACAGCCTTGGACACTCGGGGGGACAGTTCTACCCTGTCCCACACGGTCGCTATGAGACAAAACCCATTTGAGAGCAGTGAGGGTTTTTAGTTGTGAGCTGGGTTGGGGTAGTGGTGACTTGATGGCAAACCAAAACCCAAGTCAAACCAAACCAAACACCCCTCATTGATATCGACTTGATGCCAACTCATCGAGGCCATACAGGACAGGGTAGAACTGCCCGGTGAGTTTCTGAGACTGTGGCTATGTATGGGAGTAGAAAGCCCTGTCTTCTCCCAAGGAGCGGTGTGTGGTTTTGAACTGTTGACCTTTCTGATCCCAGCCCAATAAATACATAGCCACATCACTAGGGCTCCAAGGAAAAGTGAAATTGGCTTCTTACGGTGTTTGAGAATTGCCAACCTTGTGGTTAGCAAGCAACATTCAAAGAGAAATTGGCAAGTTCACTCATCCTGGGAGTTTGACAACAGCAGTAGCATAGAGAGCTTACCATTAGAAGGTCAAGTTAAAAAGATATGGGGCACAAAGCAGATGTAACTCTAAAGAGGAAAAGAGGACTTTTCTGAACCAGGTAAGTGAGGTGCGGGGCTGCCAAGTCATGGTGCTGTTGCCATGGGCAAAGCTGATGAGGTAATCCACGTTCATAAAGATTAACATCCTCAAAAAACCCTAGGTAGTGCTCCACTCTGTAATTCTTTGTCATTATGAAGAGAAGTGTTTGGGGGGGGAAAGTCATAAAAGATTTGACGAGACTTTTAAAAAACTATTTATCAAAAGAAACAAACAA